TTAATTATGAGCAAGATTGGGTTTTATAGCATTATGCTGAGCTGATACAAAAAGAATAAACATCTTTTCCCTTTAAAGAAAGCCAAGATGTTTGTATGTGTACCATTTATATGTAAAACAGAACTCTCCCACTAAATGCAGAAGAAATGACTAGCAGAAAGGAGCCCTTTTAATTCTCAAACAATAGTGACAGAACTTGTAGGATTTTTGGAAGAGGCTACGGTTGTGTAGGTTAGAACAGGTGTGGTTTAACTTCCAGTGTCTATATAGACATTGTTCATGTTATTTTAATATCCTAACCCCAACCCTTTGACTATATAGGATTATTCAAATTTATGGTTTAACTCAGTCTCAGTATTCATTGGCTTGGGTGTTAATCCCATTGTCTTCAATCTATACTTAGTGTGAGTAAAATCTGTTTCATGTCAAGCTTAACTCTTAATGACTTCATGGACTGCAAACAATGCAGAAATGCTGTGCCAGTGCTTTCTTCCAGAATTTTTTTTTTCAGTTTCTCAGGCTAGCATATCTTTATTTTTCTATGGAAAGGTTATTCTTCATCTTTGCTTGTAAAACAGGGAGGGAGGGAAGGAGAGAATTATTAAATATTGGGAAGTTGGCCTTATTTTCAATGAAGCGCCACCACTTCTACTTGGCCTTACTTTGGATATGTTCAGCGTATGCTGAGTTTTGTGAATTTCATTTTTCTGGTGCTCTGATCTGTGATTGTTTTTAATGTGAACATTGTTTACCTTTTGTTGTCATCAGTGCCTTGTATTTTAGCATTAGATCATATGCCACCTTGAGAATACATTATGACATTAGAATATAAATATTTTAAAATAAATAAATTCATAAAGATAGCTTAACATTGCAACTTGAAATAAAGATGGGGAGAAATGAGTAAATTTTATATGTAAAGTTATCTGTGTCCAACCCTAATCTAGTACATTTAGATGATACTGAAAAAATACAGTTCTCTTGCAATTTACCATTTTTAAGGTAGTATTGATATACAATACAGTATTCGGAAAAATAATGTACAAAATGCATCATATTAAATAAAATTGTTTCCAAATACTGTCTACATTAGGGAAATAGTGAACTGAAACACACATGTTTGGAGAACTATGCACCCAAATAATGCACATTTTAATGCAAACTTTTAAAAATGCAAATCTGAGAAAAATTTAAATTGGCAGATTTGTCTATTCTCAATGGTAAACGTGTGTGTTGAAAACCCTCAAACAAATGGGAAAAAAAGATAATTGTTTTTAATCTTGAACCTAATATTTTTGTTCACAATCTAATTCCAAGTTAATGCAGCTATAACCAGAAAGACAAATCTGACAGCATGGGAAAATATGGCAAATATTCCAATGCCAACACAAGTCTATTCTTCCCTGTAACAGGATAGCCAAGAAAACTGAGCTGGACTGAAAAAAAAAATACAACAAGAAAGAATATATAATAATACCCACTTAATTCTAATTTGTTAGAATTATACTTAAAATATGAGCTGAACATAGAAAGGAGCTGAAAAATTACTTATGTTGGCCCTTCTAGTTATATTTCTCAGAGAGAGGGAGAGACAGGTAGGTAGAAGTCTGAAAAATTAATGTAAGCCTTAGAACAAAAGTTCAAGTGCTCTCTCTACTTTTTATTAAGCATTTCCATCAAAGTGGCATTTTAATGGGAAAGCACAAATTGAGCAAAACTATGTGTTATCTTGGAATACAACTCTTTTATAGAATTGGCTCTTTCAGTTGAGAGACTTAGACTTAAAATAATATTTAAACAACTCTTGGAATTAAATAATGATAAAATTTGAATGATTTAGGATGAGGCATGAAAAGCCTATTGCCCTGCAGATATTGACAATATGACTTCCCTATTGACCTTATCAACAGGGTAAATAGGAAGAAATACTAGGAGATGTTGTTCAGAGACTATAACAGTCTGGCAGTTGAAATCCCCAGAATGTCAACATGCCAAACTTGAGAAACACTGATCATTCTAGAAGATCACAGATTCCTCAATTCTCATATATGTATAGGCAGAAACTGCACTAAAAATATTTGGGAGTGGGGGGGGGAGACTGGATATCTATCCAAACTCTTTAGAATAAAGATGAGAGGCAATCGAAACAGAAAAGATACAATGACATAATAGTCACACATCTGAAAAATAAAAATAACACTTACAGTAAAGCATACCTCTGACCAAAAAAATGTAGAAAAATTAGGCATTCTAATGTTTTTAATTAGTCTGAAAGGTCATGGGAATACATAATAGAGAGGATTCACTAAGATTATTTAACAGAAAAATAAATAGAATACATCAGCATATAGTTGTTAATGATCATTTGTAAGAGAATGCAGAATAAAAAATAAGAACCATGCAATTCTTGTACAGTAAAACCATTAACATATGTAAGAAAATATCTACTAAATGATACCAAAGAATCAGAATGGAAAACCAGAAGTCTTCCAAGTTCACACCAAAGCATAATCCAACCTTTTTAACTGTTTGAACACAAGAGTCATAGTACGGGGTGTGTTTAATATAAAACAGTGTTCCTTTTAGTTGTTTTAGGCAAAAATAAACTTAGGAGAAGTTGACCCAGGTCAGACAACATTTTAAGAAGGACTTCAATTACATTTTACTCTTCCAGTTGAGCAATGACTATCCCTACACAGAGGCTAGCATTTTTTCAAAAAAAAAAATAGTGTCAGTGGTTTTTTTATCGATTAGATGCTATTATAACAACATTTTTGAGGGAAATTTCAGTGGGAACTAAATTGCCTCTCCTAATGTTCTGTATGTCTGGTATAGATTGAACTCTTGGTCTTCCAAAGCAGTTTGGAATAAAATAAAGGGAAAAATTGCATACTATTTAGCGTCATTTTTGTAATTTAATTTTCAAAAACATGCCTATCAGAATCTGGGATTTATTTATTCCAATATATTTCTCATTACAAAAATAAAAGGTCTGGGGAAAGCTTGGGTAAATAATAATAATAATGAGGAGGAGGAGAAGGTGGAGGTGGTAGTGGTGGTGGGGTTATATAGTCCAACCCCCTGCTCAGGCAGGAAACCCTATACCATTTCAACAAATGGCTGTCCAGTCTCTTTTTAAAAACTTCCAGTGTTAGAGCATTCATAGCTTCTGGAGGCAGGTTGTTCCACTGATTAATTGTTCTAACTGTTAGGAAATTTCTCCTTACTTCTAGGTTGCTTCTCTCTTTGATTACTAAAGTAATAAACCATTAAGCAATTAAGAGAATTAAATATATAAACTTATTGAGTTTTCACAATATACAAATATAGAACAAAATGAGGAGCAGAAAGAATAAGAAATAAGCAAAAGATAAGACAAAAAAAAGCAGAATAGTAACCTATCAAATTATCAAAATACACCCTCTCTTATCCTCAACCATCGAAGTGCTGGCTGGGGTGATCAGGCAAGGATGAGTTAGACATGAGGACCCCAATATGATTCCACTGTGTTATGGAATTCCAAATTGCAGAGAGCAATAGCAATGGCGCTATTAGTTTTGGTATTCTGTAGGAATACCAAAACAGAGACATCACCCTGCTAACAAAAGTGCGTATAGTCCAGGCCATGGTTTTCCCAGTTGCAATGTATGGCTGTGAAAGTTGGAGCATAAGAAAGGCTGAGCACAAAAGAATTGAGGCCTTTGAACTATGGTGCTGGAGAAGACTCCTGTGAATCCCCTGGACTGCAAGGCGATCAAACCGGTCAGTCCTAGAGGAGATCAACCCTGACTGCTCTTTAGAAGGCTAGATCCTGAAGTTGAAACCAAGTACTTTGGCCACCTAATGAGAAGGAAGGACTCACTGGAGAAGAGCCTAATGCTGGGAAAGATTGAGGGCAATAGAAGAATGGGACAACAGAGAATGGGGTGGCTGGATGGAGTCTCTGAAGCAGTAGGCGTGAGCTTAAATGGACTCCAGAAGATGGTAGAGGACAGGAAGGCCTGGAGGAACATTGTCCATGGGGTCGCAATGGGTCGGACTTGACTTTGCAACTAATAACAACAATAATATTCTGCAGGAAAACGAAGATTGATATTCCCAAAAGAATTGCCTAGAGTTGGCAAAAGTTGAAAATCCTCCTTGCCAATAATTTTGATTTGCATACATTTGATCAAAACTTTAAAAAAATATCCAGGAGACAATTGAAGAGATAAATATAGTGAAGAACCAAATGAAGATCACATACTTGAAAAGATTAAAAGCGGGTCAGAGAAAAAATAAAAGGACAATGAGATGAACTGGAAAAAAGAAAATACATACTAAAAGAAATTGGTCAATGGAGAAGATGATTAATTTTTTAAAAATAGGGAACATAGTCAAAAGAGCAAACTAAATATTAGCCATACTCAATCTTTTATCCTCCAGATGTGTTGGACTTCCAAGTCTCATCATTCCTAGCTTGTTTAACCAGAGAAAACTCCTTTATTCTGTCTGTTGAAGGACAGAACCTTGGGAAAACTGCTTTGCTCACACGTCCAGGGTACCAATTTGGGAAAAGCTGGATTAAGGATTCAGATAAGAGCAAGGAAGGACAAGATCTGTCAGGATAAGCGGAAGATCCAAAATGATCATATGCTAGAGACTAGATGGTTGAATGAGTTTGATACATGAATTAGGTACAAGTTTAAATACCTATGAAATATATTAATACAGAAATCAACTAGATCACCATCTGTAGAAGCCAGTTAAAAAGCATAAGGGTGCACATTCTTTAAATGTTAAGCATTAAACAGCACTTAAGCTAATTTCATTGACACATATAAACAAACTAATACTGTGAATCCCCTAATTCAGAGATCTTTAATCTCGGCCCTTTTATGACTCATGGACTTCAACTCCCAGAATTCCTCAGCTAGGCATGCTGGCTGAGGAATTCTGGGAGTTGAAGTCCATGAGTCATAAAAGGGCCATGTTTGAAGACCCCTGCCCTAATTCTTAAAAAGAATTGCCGCACTTGCCCGCGACCATTTTTGTGAGAACCTGGTTAGCATTGCATTGCATTTCAAAGCAGACATTTAATTAGAATTTTCTTTTCTATGTCTGCAACTGGCAATGATTATCTTGCTGAAAAGTGACAGCTGCTTTGCTTGGCACTGCAGTGGCTGATATTATTAAATCAATATTGCAACAGACTGAATGTTATGTACTGTTAGTGTGTCTCCATGATATCACTGACAAAAAAAATACTGCGGGATATTAGAATTTATTCTGTTAGCTAATCATTACAAAACTCTTCAGAAGAATCCAATTCTGAGAAATTGACACCTTGCCTTATTTAATATTTATTATTTTTTCATACAGACTTCATCTTAACATTTAGTACAAAAGAAACTGAGCTCTGGTTTAACTCCCATTCCATGCAGTTTCCTCACATTTTGCTTTTTTTATTTCAGCAAACAAAAATATGAAATTGTCTTCATATTAAATGATAGGCATCAGATTTCTCTGGGATCAATTCAACATCTCTTCATATTTGAATTCCATCTGTTTATCCAAGATTGGATAACAATAGTTTTCAATTAAAATCCAAATAAAGATACAATTGGGTGGAACTTTTAGAGTAGACCAATTTCATGTAACTTTTAAGTATGAAGAGTCTGGATAAATCCATGCTTGAATTTATATATTGTATATATAGGAATGAAGAATTATGTAATTCTTCACTTGTATGTAGCATTTGACTTGGTTTTATTTACATCAAAGATTTCTGCATGGCTTTTCTAAGTTACATGTGAAGAGGCTCTGAACCTGCCCGGTTTGGATAGTTCATTTTTTACATGCATGTAATTAAAATTAATTACTGAACTTTCCAAAGTCAAGAATTTTTACAAGCACAGATTGCTCTTTTCTGCACAATGAAAGAAAATTCAGCAAAAGGCTCATTTAATAGCAGGGGGCAAGGTGAATGAGGTCAGCTACAGTGGCGATAAGTGCACTGTTGGAAGGCCTGGTAGATGAGGTGTTCCAAGGCCATTAAGAGAACAGGCAAGTATCCAGTGAGTTGGAAGGGCTAGAGCAGAGGTGTCAAACTCACAATGTCATGTGATGTTGTCGCAATGTATCGTGACTTTTTTCCATTGTCAGCAATGGGGTGGGCGCGGTTTCGGCATGACACATCCGGCCTGTGGGCTGGCAGTTTGACACCCCTGAGCTAGAGGGAAAAACCTAGTATTTAAACCTTGGAGCACAATTCCTCATAGAGACTTTGATTTCTATGTACTGCAATAATGGAAATCTTATCTATGTCTATGTCTTCATTCTTGTCTGCAATGAAGTTATGTCTCGCCCAGCACTGAAGGCAGGCTAACCACACAATAAAAGCCTGGAAATAACATCATCACTTTGTCATAGACTTTTATCTGAAGATCCATAAAGTTATCAGCAATTAACAACCTATATAGAAATAGAAATGTGTACTCAAGAAACATTAATGGATGGGTTTTACCAGTGTAGATCAGAAAGAATGTGCTATAAGAGAAGACAAAATGGAACCAGTCAGATGCTGAGTAATAAATGGCAACGCATTTAATTGCTTGCAGTTTCTTGGCTCTTTGGTAATAGAGAATTAGTGAGAAAATATATCCAAATCTTTGCAGTGCAAATAAACAAACAAAAACAAATCCACCCCAAACTGAAATTAATAGATCAACATAACCTATTCTAACATGTCATATAAACTAGAGACAGTAATTTGTTTTATTTCAATATTTAGGTAGGAATAAGTCTTTAAAAGAGGGTTCAACCCCCTCACAGGTGAGTTATCCTACCTTCCAGAAAGCCCTTCACAATACAAAGCACATATGCTCAGAGTGTGTAAGGCCATAGAAGGTAGAAGTGGGCGGAACCTGCAGAACAGAACTTTTACAAAAATGCACAGGTATCAGAATATCTTTATCTTATGACTAAAAACAGTAGGAAAAATAAACTAATTTAAATTACAATTTAATTGGCATAAGGCCATAAATCTCACCCTTCAACAGATTTCAAACATTACCTCCAGACCATCCTCCAGTCCTACAGTCTCAATAATTATTGCACAAAGCAAGGACAAAATGAATTGAGAATCATTGAACTGTTTTTACTTATATTTTAAGCATTCACAGGAATTGGTTGTTCCTGTTAAATCCAAAAATGCTGAGAAAGCAATGTTGTGTTTATCAGTATTAAACTCTCCTGTGTGCTAATCATCTTCCCAGATAGGCTCAGATGGCCCATGGAGACATACTGTAATTTAATGAATAATAAGACTGAGCTGATGTGGAAGTTTAGTTATCAATTAAACAATAGAACAACGCTGAACTCATGTAGTGATAACCTGAAGAAAAAATGCAAGTACATTGTTAACTACAGTATTGGAAAATAGATGGAAAGAATTTTTAATTCATAAAGCTAACAATTACTATTTTTGTACTATAGATCATCATGCAGAAAATCTATGTGGTCTCTAAGAGTTTAAAATGACTTGATGGAACATAATCAATCACTGTCACAAGATGTAGCTGACAGGACAAAACAATATCTTTTAAAGCTGGGGTTCTTTCCCCAGGAATTGGGGAAAATATACAATCTTATTTTCACTAACCTCTAAGTGAAATGTAACTTGTTTTTCAATAATGAATGTAAGCAACCACATTATTTATGGCTTCTGGTCTATAGGTTTCACAGACTCTCAAAGGGATCCATGATACAAAAAGGTTGGAAACCCTTGTTCTAAAGTGTTGTTGTTAGAATTGTATTTTGGAGAGTTCTTCGTTTGCAGTGCATGGAAGACAATCACACACCTAAATCAATGGCAAGAGTTTTTCCAGAGCTTAACCAGAATTTTTTTAAAAAAAAACTTGTGACCTTCCAAAATTGTACTTTTTATTGATTCTAGGTAAAATGACTAACAGCCAGGAATAAGAGTAACTGAAATCTAACCACAATGAGAGAGTCATGGCTTCCCCAGTAATATAACTGTATCAGCAGTTCACTCCAATCTAATGGGGGCAGGGGAGTCTGGAAAAATTATGTGATTAGAAGTTTGAGATGGAAGAATGCCAATGTACTTGCTTTAAATGTTCAAAACAGACAGGCTTGCTAAACTGGCAAAAAATCTGAGTTGTGAGCATTTCTAAGAGGGCTGCCCCCTTTGTAAGAGTTTTAATTGACCCTAGTCCTACAAAAGAGGAACCATCATCTCTACCTCTCAAAAGTATTTTTTTTTCTTTTATTGTAACAGTATGTTCCAGCAAGGATTACTAATTTATTCTCTGTGGAGCAATATAGGACTCATTGAGTGCTATGTAACATTATCAGTGTGTGAGAGACTGTACATTATATACATTTTCAGCATGCCTTCACTTCAGATTTGTTTGATTTTATAAGTGCCAAAAGTAAAAACAGATGTTATGCTATTCAATGTTTGGATATCAAAACCTATCCCACTATAACTTATATGTCCCACAAGGCATTTGGATAATCTAGTATGTTTGGGGATGGATGAAGAGGCCAGAAAATGCTTGGCTTTGGGGTTTTCATGCCATTTTTCCTAAATGCTTGACATTAAATATGAATCAGATTTAGACTTCAACAATATAGCCAAGTTTAGGATTCAACTTTGCACAAAAATCCAAGAAGTCAAGGCTGACCTGAAATATCAGTAAACTCTTATAGCAAGTTTATGTAGGAGCATTTCCATAAAAACCCAAAAAGCAAGTTAAGCATGCATAAATACTGCTTAAGTAATTGAGGCTCAATCGTTTTTGATCCATAGGCTTGGTAAGAGCAGTGACTGAAATTTCTTCCAAGGCTGAAATTCTGTTATGGGCACGTTCCATTTCTCATTGCTCAATTCAATGTAAAATTCCAAAATATAGCACAAACAACCATTTGTTGTTAAGGAATTAGGATCAAGTGACGAGGTCATAACCACAAATACTTTACAGTATATGTACTATGCTCTTTCCAATCTACTTCTAGAATAAGAAACATGGATGTATGAATGGTTTTAAGGGTAGAAACAGTAAATTTATGTATGATGCAGCAGTACCTGCACTAAAGAGACCCAATACATATTCAGAAAAAAAACTAATTCCTGTTGCTCAGGGTTGGTATTTGAGAATAAACACAATAAAGTTACAAATGTAAGACAGATTAGTAAGAGCAAAACAACCAGAGTTTAAAAATACAATACCAACAATCAAGGGACAAACCATTGAACACCAAAGAACATCAAGTTCATTTATAATGAAAGTTCCAAATTTGAAGGACATAACAGAGGTGCATAAAGTACAGTAAGTTGTGGAGAAAGGTAACAGGGAAAAGTTCCTTGTCTTCACAAAGTGCATAGTTAAGTATCGGATTTTTCCATAGATGATCCAGGCCAGCTTTATCTTCCTAAAGTGGCCAATAAAATGTTTCTGGAAAGTCCACAAGCAGATTAGAGCAATCTCCTGGCATTCTCTTCTTCAATGATTAGTAGAAAGTGGGATCTTCTCACAATACTAGAGATAATGTACTGATGTCACAACTATAAGCCATTCCAGGAGCAATTGTCATGAACATGTTTAATCCTTCCCCCCCCTTTAAAAGTTCCTAAGATGGTGGCCGCTACCACCTCTTGAAATAGCAAATTCCATAATTGAAATATGTGCTGTATGAAGCAGCACTTCTTAAGAGCATTTGGAATAGAATAGAGCTGGAAGGGACCTTGGAGGTCTTCTAGTCCAGCCCCCTGCTCAAATTCAGGATAGACAAAACTTCCTTTTGTCTATCCTGAGTTTCCCACCATTCCATTTCCTTGGTGGTTTAGGGTCCTAGTATTATGAAAAGTACAGGGCAAAACATCTCCTTACCTAATATCTTTCTTGATATTAATACCATACTATAATTGCTTGTAGCTATGTCATGATTTCTTGCTCAACTCTTTTTTTCTAAACTATAAAACCTTAAAAACCCTACTTTCAGGGTTTTCCAATCTTGGCGTCTTTAAGATGGGTGGACTCCTAACTCCCAGAATTCCCTAGCTACAAGGAGAGCCAGTTCGATCTGATGTTTAAGGCTAAAAAGGCTGTGAGTTCTAGTTCTACTCCCATCTTAGCCATGAGAGCCCAACTCATTTCACAGGGTTGCTGTTGTGGGGAAAATAGGAGGAGCCTTAAAAAGGAATTCTGGGGGTTGAGGACTACTTATCTTAAAGTGGCCAGGTTGAGAAATACTGTTCTATTCCCTTGAACATATTCACTCTCCTTTGTTGTACTTATTGGCCCTCTTGTCATCAATAGCCTTCAAAGCCAGGTGCTCAATAATGTACAAGTGTTCACTGATCTCCAGGATCTAGGAACCTGGTTGGCTGGTTTAGAATAAACTAAAACCTCCAGCTTTGGAAGTTTTAATTTACTTTACATCTATCAGGTAGCCTTTCCCAATGTGCAGATTTTTGGTTTTTTGTTCTTTTTTTGCTTTTGTTTTTATTTCTGGGATCTTTAGATCAAGGATAGGTAATCTCACACCTTTCAGATATTCTGAACTTCACTTCTCAGGCTTCCCAGCATAACTAATCACTAGAGGGTAAGTCAGCTGTAGCCAAACATCTGGAGAGCACTACTGAAATCTACTTTATCCCCTATTTAAAAATATGGAAATGTGTCCTTTTCTAGGGTTACTGGAAAAATTCCCAAATTAAAACTGAAATTAAAAACCCACACAACCTCTTTTCATCTGATGAGTTTTATGCTGATTTTTATGCTTTTATTTTTGTTCATAAGATTATACTCAAGATTATGCTAAATAAGATGGGCAGCTATATAAATTGTTTAAATACAAAAATGTTTTTCTGAACTGCTTTGCTGCCATCCACTGGCCATCCATATTCTTACCTCCAGAGCTGGTAGTGAACCCAGAAATGCCGCCTATGGCTACAAATTCAAATTGTATGGCTTTTGGTCATTTAACCAGACCTTGATCACTTCCCATTTGGATTACTGCCATGCACTCTATAAGGGACTATCCTTGATAACTACCCAGGAACTAGAATTGGTCCAGAAAGTAGACTTAACATTCTCTCTCAACATTTAATAGCCACCAAATTATTATAAAAGCATGAAGCTTCTCCATTCATGATTGGTTCTTTTTTTGGTTGGTTTATTTTATTACACAACAGATGGATGTTAAATCCAATATATAGTATAACACTACCCAAAATCTATTTTGCATAACAGGGCCAACACTGTTTGAAAGATATTAGAAGACATGATTCAAACATACCCAAACACAAGACCTCTCTTATACCATAAAAGCAGTCTGATATTTTAAAGCAGGGGTGTCCAACTTTGGCAACTTTAAGACTTGTGGACTTCAACTCCCATAATTCCTCAGCCAGCCATGCTTTAACTTTAAGCCCACAAGTCTTACAAGTTACCAAGGTTGGACACCCGTTTTAAAGGTTTCTGCCGGAGCCTTAAAAAGTTGCTGCTGCTTTAAGGACTCTATTCATTAACATTAAGAAAACCTTTAAAGCACCAGCTCATTTTTTCAGGCTTGCACAGAAGCTTGAAAAAGGGTGGCTCCTTTAATAAACAGCAGGGAGTTGCTGTACTTGTGCATGGTTCAAAGCATGCTTCTAAATCATTTTCAAAGCTTTCTACAGAGTAAAACCACAAAGTGAAAGTTCTGTTGCATAAGGTTAATTTGTTGATGATGGCATGAGAGATCTTAGTTTTGTTAATAGTTTACCGAAGGCATCTCCTGTTAAAAGACATAAGTTAGCAGGTGAAGGGAAAGACTTCGGCTTAAGACCCAGAATAAACAGAGCCCCCTTGAAACAGAAAGACTTCTAATGTAGGGGGAAATGATGTGCTTGTACGCAATGTGCCTGTGTAACAAATGAATCCTAAAGCTGTTTAAGGACCCATAATTTAAGACCGATGTATTCGTTCCAGTTTATATACCATATTGGACTTTATGCCCTTTGGGATGGAATTAGTGAACATCTTTAGTTTCTTGTGCTGCTAATATCCCCAAGTCTGTTAGAAACGGTGTTAAGAGACACGCGGAGGGTTCAGGTCTACCGATTTCACCCTTCGGCCAACAGCTACCCCTAGTGGCTGCTGCGGGAAGCAAAACTTATCTTGCGCATTTAACTCTCGCCATCGATTTCGCCGCGGTCAACAGGTTTAACCAGCGAGGTAGCTCCGAGACGAGATCACGAACCAAGGCATTATTAACTCCTTTGTCTCCGGATAAGGCCGGCTTTCCTTCCCGACCACGTGGACGACGTACCAGAGCCCGAAGGCGAAAAGGAAAGGCACCCATTTCCCAAGCGAAGAAAGACCGAGCAGGTACTTTTAACTAACTAGCCACCTCTTCTCGCGCCTCTCCGCTGGCAAAGCGGGGGAACGGGCGGGCGGAGGCAACCCTTGACGGGAAGGAAGGTGGGGATCGAGTCGGTTCTTCCGAGACTTCACACAAAGTTTGGCGATGCTGCTCGCTGGAAGAGTTTCGCTTTCCGGGGCGTTTGCGTGCACGGGGGGGGGGGGAGGAGGAGGAACTCTTTGGAAGAATTTCACTTCGGTCTCGCTTTCCATCCACGTGCACGGGGGGGGGGGGGGAGAGACCGGGAAAAGAGAAGAGGCAAGAAAGGGGTGACTACTTGCCCGAGGATGCTTGGGAGGGGGATCCGGTAGTGGTCGGCGCGGGAGCCAGTCCTCGTCCCAAGCGTTTCATTGATTACCCTCGCTCGCTCCCCACGTTTACACCCGAGTGAGCAATGTTGGAGGAGGAGGAGAGAAGGGCGCCTGTTGCGTCTCTTATTCTCGGCACGCCCGACCTGCTCGGGAAAAGACCCGGACATGCCCTAAAGCTGCCTGGCCTGAGAGCGGCCGTTCCCTGCGCCGTGGCACGTCCCCCACACTTCCAAACCGGGTTGGGGCTGGCTCGCTTGCGCGTTCCCTCGGTCCACTCCCCCCCTCCGTCCCCCTGCCTCTCCTTCCCCTTCTCTTGGCCAGTATATTTTTAGGTCATTGGAGTGGAGGGGTAGGTAATCCCCGGGCTCAGGTTCCAAAGGAGGCGGGTTCCGGCCGGAGGTGGAGTCACTTTTTCATTTAAATCCCCGACTATAAAATGGGTTTAAGGAGAAGCGGGATCTCATCAGTTGAGGCGCCCAGAGGAGCGGTGGGAGTGAGCGGCGTCGGGGGAGGCGAGCGGGAGGCTCGGGACCACAGCGTGGGCGCTCGGCGGAGCTGCTACTCCTGCCGCGGCGATGCTACACTCCGTGGGCGCCCAGACCTTGCAAGCGCTCAGCCAGGTGGCCGCCTGCGTGCTCCTCCTGCCCCGCTTCCTCCTGACCGCTGTGATGCTCTGGCTCCTGGATTTTCTCTGCATCCGGAAGAAACTCATGCTGACCGCGGCGGCGACCCTCGGTGAGGAGCAAGAGTTGGCGGCAGAAGACGGCGACTCGAGCGAGGGGACCTGCCCGCCGGACGACCCTCCGCTCTGCGTCTCCGACTCGAACCGCATGTTCACGTTGGAGTCGCTCAAAGCGGTGTGGCACGGGCAGAAACTGGACTTTTTCAAGGCGGCGCACGTCGGCGCGACGGCGCCCAACCCGGAGGTCGTCCAGCTGGACGGGCGCACGCGGCAGCGCATCCTGGACTACGCCCGGGGCAAGAGACCGCTGATCCTCAACTTCGGCAGCTGCACCTGACCCCCCTTCATGGCGCGCCTGCGCGCCTTCGAGCGCCTGGCCACGCGCTTCGTGGACATCGCCGACTTCTTGCTGGTGTACATCGAGGAGGCGCACCCTTCCGACGGCTGGGTCAGCTCGGACGCCGCCTACGACATCCCCAAGCACCAGTGCTTGCAGGACCGGCTGCACGCGGCTCAGCTGATGAAGGAAGGCGCGCCGGGCTGCCCGCTGGCCGTGGACACCATGGACAACGGCTCGAGCGCCGCCTACGGGGCGTACTTCGAGCGCCTGTACATTATCCAGGAGCGGAAGGTGATGTACCAGGGCGGCCGGGGCCCCGAAGGCTACAAGATCTCCGAACTCAGGCGCTGGCTCGACCACTACAAGAACAGCCTCCGAGCCGGGCCCAGCACCGTGGTAGTCCAGGTGTAAGGAAGAATCCCCGGCGGAGGGAGGGAACGGGAAGGAAGAGGGAGCTCGAACTCCTTCGCTTTCCTTTCCCGCCCCTTTCCGTAACTCCCGAGAGGCTCTGTGTGAGTTTTCATGCGAGACATTATTCAAATCATGTTGATTTGCCGAGCATTTGTTATTGACATCCATTTCCACGTGCAGTTTTGTTTCCCTTCTTTTCCTTATTGCGGGCGTGAGAACGAACAGATCTCTCTTGCGTGGGGAGGGGGGGGGAACGCGTTTGCTGTTTTTTTTTTGTTTTGTTTTTTTTGAGAGCCTGTTTCTGAGCGTGTGCGTGCACGTGCGGGCTTCGGGTGTACGTGTGCGCGGGTGTTTCCGATGGGAACGGTCTTCTGTCGTGCACGTGGGTCTGGTGGAGAGAAGTTTCGCGTGCCCAAGCGGTGTGTGTTCTCTCTATTTTTCCCTCTGCTGTCCTAGCAAAAACCTTGGCTGGAAGTTCTGGCGTTTCTTTATGATGACCGGTTTCGAAATGGTTTTGGAACGCCAGGAAACCGAGTCTGAAATTGGGAGATGGCAGAATTGCCAGTTTTCGTTTTTGAGGAAAAGCAAAACAAAAACAAAAAAAACACAAAAACACCCCACAAGTCTATTTATGTGATCTCTGAGCTGGTGGTATGTTGAGCTTCTTTTCTCTTTTTTGTAAAATACCTGTTTTTTATGAGCTTTTTATAACATTATTAATAAAGATGATTGAATAACGTATGCCTCACTTGGATCTTTCTAACTGAAAAGGGGAGGAGATAAGGCTCCAGAGATGCCGCAGCTTACTTGGTTTATTGAGGATCCCAACCTGTTGGGAGAAATGGCAGGGGAGGACCCACCTTGAGAAAATAAGGTTTAAACTATTGTATATTTCTTGTGGACTGCTGGCCACTTGTAAAAGAACTCTGAGGAACATTTTCCAGGGTGGATCGGACCTTTGATTTGGGGAAGTTGCTCCCAAATGAGTGATCAGAAGCCACTTATAAGCAAAGGAGAAGATGCCTAGATGGATGTAAAGGGGACAGTGTTCTATCATTGCCTTTTGTTGGGGACGCAACTGGGGGATCTGTTTGCCTTCTGATAAGATGGAAGGTTTGTCCTATCAGCACTTCTGAAGATTTAACTGCCAGCCCCCGATTGGGAAATATGCAGGTTTATCCACCTCAGAAAACAAAATACTTGGCATCACCTCTGAATGTGGGAGAGACAACTGTATTTTGTGACATGAGCTTTTAAGGGTTTGCCCATTGTACTAAACCATTGTTTGTTTTAACCATAGTTTCTTAAGCAGAAGTTGCTGGGTTTACGCGCAGCACCCTGCGTCATAAACAATGAGTCACAAATCACTTAAACCAAATAATGGTTTATATTATGAGACTCTACTGTTATATGAAGTCTGCAGGGACTTAAAAATGAAATAGGGTCCCCAAAACTTTCTCCCTCCCCATTCAAGGAAAATTTATGCAACTAGAATTCTGCAATCGCTGTGCATTTGAAGCCCACTTATCATGCAACACACAGGTTGGGATTGCAAGTCTAAAAATTGCCTCTCTTCTGTAAAAGTTGTTTATTCTTAAGGCATTTGAAACAAAGGTTTGCTGCTGTTGTCCTATACTGAATATATAGACATGTAAAGAAAGAGCCACAAATATCCCGATACACACCAGCGTTGGGTGCATTTGTTAAGGGAAAGGATTGTGACCTGTAAATCATTTTAACTTGCTGGGTGGGCTGAGCAAAAGGAATAGTTGGATTCCCAGACAATGCCTCTAAATATCTGTGGGCTATTTTCACACACCCCTCTCCTCTCCCAGAAAAGAACTACAAACATCCGGTAATCCTTGAGGCTTTGGTTACATCACACCTTATCAGCATATTGTCCTTTGTGGTTAAAGATGAACAGTTACCTGCTCCACAGATTTCTGGTACTAACCATGAGTAATCTTTGAAGAAAAAAAAAAATGAGTAAAAGTGTTGTGAAAAGGCGGTTGGCTTAACTGACTTGTGGAAGAGAATTGATGCCAAGCGATAGGAAAGGATATTTCCAATCTCATTTAGGAGCGGTTGCACTGCTTATACGATTTTTCTGTTACAACCCTTTGCCTGCACAGCTATGGTTTGGATAGGTCTCCTCCAATCATATGTCCCATAACTTCAAATGTTGGCATGCATTTTCAAGTAACAATAATATGTTGTATTGCAGCAGGGAATTGCACAGTATGTTTCTTAGCTCACATTGCACATACAGGGATGGTCAGCAGTTACTAAAGTATTTTAGAAAGCGGGAAACAATTTTTAAAAAATCTGATGTTCTTACCTGTTGCCCCCACAAAGGATTGCACAAAATCTTTAAAAATACCTAGTAGCTTTTTTAGGTTTCTTATGTCAGTTCTGATCATTATTAGTTTTATTAATGTCAGAAATTTGCCTGCTTTACCATAATTTTCCATATCCCATTTAAAAAACTGCTTTAGTCCAAGCAACATGACCTTAATAAATCTGGACAGTCAACTGCTTACAGCTGAGCTAAGAGCTATTATCAGTACTTGTTTCACTATTATCTTCAGAGTACTTTGTTTACTTGAATTGAGCAAAGAGGTATTACTCAAACCCAAGTGCTAATTTATGTATTATTTGTAATTATTGTATAGTTAGACCTTATATAATAAAGAATACCAGTCAAATACAGTCAGACCACCAACAGAACTGCAGTGTTTGAACATGTAAACTATAATCCAAAACTCACATTTCTAAACATAGTGGTAGGTTATGTGGCTTTTGAGTCACCCTGAATTCTCATACGATTGCTGGCTAACCATTTCAAAAATCGGGTTGTAGCCTGAAAAAGGTTGAGGTGAAATCTTCCTGGAATCAAGCTCAGCTCCTGGGAATTACATGGGCACTTCCCTTTCATTTTCTTGGCAACAATTCACAAGTGGTTTACTCAGCAGTGTCCATGGGAGCAAGGGATGAAAAAGGGAAAAATGTAGCATTGCAAGTACAAAAGATTTGGGGCTAGGACTGTGATGCCACTTCCAACATTTTGCCTCTTTGTAACATGCTGGTTACCTGTAGAAAGTGCTTTCTTGGGAGATTGTTCACTTAGTGTAGCCCATGCTTTGAATAAATTACCCAAAATTGGAGAAGAGTTGGGTTTTCTTGGGATAACAGCACGTGAATTCATTATCCAATCACAACGGGAAAAATTTAAAGACTTTCTGATAAGCAGCTTTGGGTAATAAAAAAGAAGCATTGGGCTAGCCTTTTACTACATATAGTTAGTCCTTGACTTATGACCAAAATGGGGCCTGCCCATCCCCATTATAGTTGTGATGATCATAAAACATGACCAACCCACTTTTGCAATCCTTCATTGCAGCAATCATTAAGCAAACCAATGATTTGCTATGGGCTGGTTTTGCCAAAAAACAGAGGTAAATGTCAGTTTTCAGCAAAAGCGTTGTAAGATGTGACTGCAGGACACTGCAAACAGCTGTAAATGAGGGCTAGTTGCCAAGCACCTGTTGCAGTCATGTGACCTGGCCTTCAGAACTGGGTCATAAGTACTTCCAGGGAGGTCTATTATAACTTTGGACAGTTGCTAAGCAACCACTCATAAGTGAAGGACTACCTGTACTGATTTCTGTTGGTCTCCCATGCAGGTACAAAGCAGATCAGACCCGGCTTAGTGTTAAGTAAAATTGGTGAGGTAAGCCACATTATGTCAGGCTCCCGTACCAGGATTTGGCAGTGAATCACTGATCTCATGACTTCATAGGGCTTCACATGACTCGTAGGTGAGGACTTGGCACAAATCTCATAGGCATGGCTCAGCTACAGAAGACTCTTTACTGCAGACATGAATGAAGCCAAAATGAAACCATTGCTTGTGCTTTCCCTGAAGAGCTATGGGTAGTAGTCCTCTTCTTGCACTTTACAGTGCCTTAAGCCCATCATTTTTTCCTCTGTCCTTTCCATAAATTAATAGATTCTGCTTGGCTTTTGATAGGGATTGTCAATATTTGCACAGTATTTGACCTGAAGAATACTAACTTGCTTAATTCACATATTTAGTGGCTACCTGGACACATCCATCTTGTTTTCTTTGCAACAGTTTGGAAGTAGTTAGCCATTACTGTCTTCTACATACACTTTAAAAATAACCTTTTCCAGTTTAACTGAAAATGGTTAGTGTCACTTTAAAATACCGCCCTTGTAAACCCCATAGCTATACTTGTTCCGCCCCTTCCCAGGGCATCAGAAAACAGCACAGACTGGTTTGGGTTCTTCCAGCTTCAAGTCCTGGCTCATAAACCCTGCATGGTGGCCACCAAGTGTGACAACCCAGTGCAATCTTTCTTAACCATTGTATAGTTTATTAAGAAGCACAACTTCTATCAAAAATGTACATTTAAATAGTAACCCTAGGCAATTTCCCCATAAAATTAAAACAGGGATACATAATGTAGAATGTGTAATTTGGCATTTAGATTTTAATGAGAAAGTCAGTGGCAGTTACAAAATAATTTAATTATTAAATATATGCATAGTTCTTGTTGTGTCCTGAGCCTGCAGAAGCAGGCTCGGGACGTTGCAATGGTCCCGGGCTGTTGCAAGCTGCCCGGGACCAGACTGAGTGGTGCCAACCTGCGCGCATGCACAAGGCGCGGAAGCGCGCCAGTTTTTTACCTTTTTACCCGGGGATTCTATTAAAGGAGGCAGAGAGGCCTGCGAGCCTCTGAGTTGTGTCGGAGAGAGCTGAAAAGAATAAAAGCTGTTAGAACCATCAGAATATGTGCTCTTCTTTCGCCATTGACTCGAGGACTCAACAGTTCTGACTTCAGTCCTTGAATCACAGCAGCCCAAAATCATGATTTTATCTTTTCCATGATATATTCAAGGGCCTTATATGGTCCACAGTTTATGTCTATGGCTTTAAACCTGACTAAGGTACACATTCTGGATTCTAGCTTTATTCCAGCCTATGAAGTTTGGATCCAGGATCTGTTCATTAATTTGTTATAACTCTACTCAACTGATATCATGCCCACCTTTCCTTCTGATGCGTTCACTCTTAAGCTGAAAGAAGAGTATGGCACTCGGTTAGTTAATAGCAGGTCTGAATAAGTTGAAATGAAATCTGCACTTGAAAACAGCATACAAGCAAATCATCTGTTGATTTCATCACTGAGGTCCAAAGACATGGATACTACTAAATCACGGGTGTCAAACTCAATCATATCACGTGATGTATCCCAATGCTTTTTGCCTTTGCGGAGCAGAGGTGGGTGTTGCCTGAACATGACGCATCCGTCCCACAGACCACCCATTTGACACCCCTGCAGTAAATGTATTATCTGTGACCTAAACTAGTACCACTTTTTTTAAATTTTGTTTGGGATTGTTTTTGTTTTGTTTTTTGACCAAAATAGACCTTGAATTTTCTTGGGCATGCTTTAATTTTCTTTATTATAATCACATATCTAAATTTTTTTTCAAAGGGCCCAAAGTAACAAAGGCAATGGCGGGATTCAGATATGTGAACAATTGGTTTTCTGTGTGGATGCTGCTTCCAGAAGTCCACTCTGGGCCTGGGCAACAAAAAATTAGCTACCGGTTCTGCCGAAGTGGTGGGAAACGGCTGAATCCCACCACTGAACAAAGGTCTCCTTCCCTATGAAGAAGCTTCCCAAAGATTTTGTTAGAAAAGTTAGACCTACATCCACATATCGTATGTTATTTCCAAATGTTCCATTTCCAGCATGTTTCCGAAAATAATTTAAGAAATTTAATATATTTTTTTCTCAATTTATTAAGGAACACACATGGTGGACAGTCTTTAATCCCCAGTTGTTTTGTTTTCGTTTAATTAAGAATGTGACTAGCCGAGGCACATATTGCCTCCTAAATAAGATCTGAAGGAGGACATGTATTGATTCTGGTATCTTCCAAATATATTGAGTCTGTTAATTTCAGCCAGGTTGGTGCTGAGAATTCTGGAGGATGAAGATCAACAGATCTGGTAAATTCAAAGGGCAATAAATCCAAGAAGGCTGCTGTAGCTATAAACCACAACCCACTCAATTGCATTCCTTCTGCTCTTGTGGAGGAGAAATTTGACTTTAAATCAGGCGTGTCCAACCTTTTGGCTTGCCTAGGCTGCATTGAGTGAAGAGGAATTGTCTTGGGCTGCATATAAAATATATAATATAGTTAATGTGTGCTATATATAAACATTATGATCTTGTGGGGCCACATTACTAGCTGCCCAGGGCCACATGCAGGCCACGGGTTGGACCCACTTGCTTTAAATCCAGGGAACTCTCTCCTGGTTGTTAATACCACACCAACCATAATAGCTTGCTGGGGAATCTGAATAACAAAATTGTGCTGCAGAACCTCAGGAGCTGTCTTGTAAAGTAGCTGCTTCCTGCAATTTCTAGTTACATTTCCAATCCTGAACTAGAAGAAAGAACAGATGTCCAGGAAGAATTTCCGAGAAAGTATAGACCTATTTCGAGTATAGATATAATTGTACTCATATATTTAGCAAATATATGAATACTTGATATTAAATAAATAGATAATTTGTCTTATGATCCCTGTTTCTAATCCAGCCTGCATCTATTATTTTAAAACATTCATGAAATATTAATTGCATGAAAGATACTACATCTGTTTTAGCCCTCAAAGTAATATTATTTATTTGGATTTATTAGAGCTATTCAGTTCCATCATGTTGAAGGATTGATGAAATAAACATTTCATCCAAAAGGCTTACAACACAATCGTGTTTTATTGCAATGACTTTTTATTTTAGCAATGCTAAATAAAATAGTATTTGACAACCTGGTGTTTGCAAATGTTTGGTTTACTACTGATAAGGATCCCAATCATCAAGACAATGTAGAAATGATGGCTGTATGAGCAATATCAGCAGTCTTCCATTGTTTGGCATTGGAACATTTTAGTTTAGGGCTCACTTAAGCCTAGCAAAGATGGTAAGTCTGGACTTCTTCATTTTGAGCATAGAATGTATTCTATATAGAGTATAGAAGGCTGGGTGTTAACCTTCCCAAATGTGATTATTCTATCTTGATCAGGTCATGTTGCTTTTTAGTTTGGAAATATATTTAGAAAGTGCAAAGCGTCAGTTTGTCATCAGTTGTGATGTGGTGTGGTGTGGTATCTCTGGCACTTTTGCTGAATCATGATTAATATTAATTCATGTGTAGAGTGTCTTGCCTGTGCAATAATTTCTAATAATGCACTGGGCTGTAGCTATTCACCATGGCATTCAGCCATAATACTCTACAACAATTGAGAAATTCAAACAGAGTCATAGTGATTACTTTTGCAATTTGATATTATACTAACTGGTTTCGCATATCGCACAAAGTCGTGGTTTGCTTAGTGTATAAACTTTGACTGACTTCATGCTACATACTAAATGAAGAACAGACCACATGACTTACTGTGATTTATGAACCCAGTTACCAGGAAGCATCTAACCCTTTTGATTTTAGTACAGCAAACCTCTGCTAGAAAAAGACATTAGAAGTTCTGCCTCCTTTACATAAGCCTTTCAAAATGCCTTCACTTCATTTTTAGGATCTGCTAGAGAAGCAAGCCTAAGCAAAAAGCACCAGCTTAGCACTTGTATATATGGATAAAAGCCAGTGGTTTCAACACAGCAAACTTGTCCCTCATTGGTGCATTTCTGTCTTTTATTGACAGCACACACGTCCAATGAGCACAATAACACATCAGCATTAAACCTTGTTTTCCTGAAACAAAAAAAATAACAGTTTCTTGTTCATGATCTAAGCAAAACACTTCTCAAGTGAATTTTGTCCCATTTTTTGACCTTTTTTGCCATAGTAGTTAATTTAGTAACATTGGTTGTTAAGTGAATACGATTGTTCCATTGACTTTGCTTGTCAGAAGGTGGCAAGAGGTGATCACATGACCCCGAGACGCTGCAATCATCATAAATATTAGTCACTTGCCAAGCATCTGAATTTTGATCATATGATCGTGGGGATGCTGCAGTGGTCATAACTGAAAATCATGTCACTTTTTCAGTGCCATTATAACTTTGAATTGTCACTAAATAAACTGTTGTAAGTTGCAGACTACCTGTTTTGAGATGAAGAATGGAACTAAAGTACTTAAACATAAGGTGTATATAGCATATTTCTAAGCATTGGATGCTTTTAATGGATACCCATCCATTATGGGTGGCTGGATGGATTTCAATCAGCCAAATGTGGCAGATGCTGTCCTCCCCCAATTTATCTTAATCATAACCCTGAATAGAAACCCTTAAGATTGATTGAGAGACTAGATTTATACATTGTATTAAGACTAAGTCCAATTAATAGATTATCCCAAGGGAATTCCGCTACATGGTTTACACAATATTGCAAACCATTATATGTTTACTTGATTTTTGTATGTTACCAGAGCCATTGTGCATATATCTGTGGTATACGCTTGAGTATGACATGTGAATTTATTTATTCCTCATATTTATATAGCCAACCAATTGTAGTGTGATCAGTTCACAGTAAATTAAGGCATGCCTTAGAATGATGTATAAATCAGGTTAACATATTGGCTGCCAAATACATGGTCTCAATGAATTCTGCAACATTAAAAAATCAATTAGCTCAATCTCATATTGTTGATGGAACGATAAGATTAAGAGAAGGATGGATTAGCTAAGGCCACACAGTGAGTTAAGTCAGCAGAAAAAAGAAGCAGAAGTTTTATAGCTTACATACTTAAGGCATCCTGACATGGAAGATTTGAAGCATATTGTGTTTTCTTTATTTATGGAAGGCAAAATTGCCATTTGTTGTTTTAGGTCTGAATGCCACTTACTGAATAATAGGTAACCAGTTAACTTAAAGAAATTTTTTCCAAAGAGATGATGTTTAAAAGCATATTTAAACTGTTTTTAAAAAATTCAGAGAAAACCATGAAAGAAACAATTAAGTAACAAGTAAATCAAGAAATAAAACAAACAGTGTTTGTATATTTATTTTGTTTAAAACTCACTTAACAAGAAAAGGTTTTCCTTTGTGGCCCTCAGGATACAAAAAATATTCCCAAAGAGGTTCCTATGCTCCACACACGTCCAATATTTAGGAAAATTATGAAAACTCATATCTTTCACCAAACTTGTTATTGTTGAACTGTGATTTCATTCTTTTTATTATGTTTTATAATTTTTATTTTTAAAACATGCAGTCTTTCTTGAGAATTGTTTAAACAGATACCTGGAATATGAATGTAATAAATAATTTGGCAATTTGAAAACTTAATAATGCATTGCAACTTCATCTTTAATGCATATTTTTTATAATTGACAATTTATTGAAAAGGAAAGCTCATCATATATAGATAGTCCTCAATTTACAGCCAAAATTGAGCCCAAAATTTATGTTGCTACAAGATATTTGTTAAGTGAGTTATGCTCCATTTTATCTGCAAACTCTAACTTTCTCATAGAAAACAGTTAAAATAACAGTAAACTTAATAATCAGACTGGATTACATCTATTTTCTATGTCCAAAATTACTTGTCCCAGTCTCTGAACATGTGATTACCTTACTAACCTTTGTCCTGTCTTCAGACCAGACAGTTTGTTATTGTTGCTTTATTGGCTGATGTTCTTTCAAAGTCTCCCAAGTTTGGTAATTTAAAAGGCCAAACATAAACCAATGCAGAAGACTTTGAAACAATTTAGAACAAAATACTCAATTTTAGAGCAAAAATTTGTAAGGAATAAACTTCCAAACATAGAGTTTTGTTTTGAGCTCAAAATATCAATGCTGTATACATTTTTACGGTACTCAAAAGATTTGACAGCAGACTAAAAAAAAAATCCATTACCTTCTAAATTAAAATATAGCAGGCATTTGTTGACTCTTTGTCAGGCAAACATCAGGTAAAAGTAATACACAGGGAGAATTAGCTAAAGATACCTAAATAAGAATGTACATTACAGTAATATCTGGAATTGGGAATGGCCATAATTTGTGCTCTTCTTTGGTATTGCAGAAAGTTGCTTATCTCAAGTCAGATTATTAGTCCAGCTCCCTCCTGTCTGCTCCAGGAATGAGCAACCCCAGCAAAGTTGGTGCTCCTTGACCTATTTTCACACGGGCTCTGCAAGCAAGTGATTCCAAACACCCAGGAAGAGCCTGTTTTCCACCAGGAACAGAGAAGACCGTACAGTAAGAGGAGTTCCAGAAGAGGGAAGGGGAAGAGCACCAGAGGTATTTTTGGCTTCAATGTGATCTACCTTGCATCTTCCTGCAAAAGAAATGCAACCCTTAGAGAGAGAGAAAAAAGTTTGCCCATCCTCAACCAGCATTGACAATAATCAATCATTCAGGAGTTCACAGACCTGTCCAAAAACAGCTAGGACTGAACCTGAAATCTCAGCATAGAGAGGATGTATGCTGTCACACAATTACGTAAAGCCCTGGTAGCATGCTAGAACAATAGCCTTCCAAATCCTAGGAAGATAATTTCATTGGAAAGAATAGTAGCACCTTCACATGAATAGTTGTAAGAAAAATGAGATCATCACTTCTTTTGAACAAACACATTATCTACAAAGGCCCGAAAGAGAGGCTGATTGATATAGCTGTAACCAATAATAGCAATAGCACTTAGACTTATATACCGCTTCATAGTACTTTACAGACCTCTCCCAACAATCTGGGTCCTCATTTTACCAACCGCAGAAGTTTGGAAGACTGAGTCAACCTTGAGCTGGTCAGAATCAAACTCTGGAATGAGCAGTGAGTTAGCCTGCAATACTGCATTCTAACGACTGTGCCATCACTGCTCAATGGCTTTGCCTGAAATCTGGAAGCCATTTCATTTGCTAATATTGTATTTACATTCTGCCTTTCTGCATTTTCCCTCATTTCATCCTTTCAACAATACATATAGAGAATGTAAGAACGTCCTGGTTGAGCTTCACAAAGGTCAAGAAACAGGAACATTGAACAACCAACAAGTTTAATGCACTGTGTTGGAATAAAGTTAGCACTGGAAGTAACCTCCTTCCAGTGCCTTAAATACAACCAACTACCATGCCCAGATCACACACTCCAATTACCACCCGTGATCATACTCCACCCTCGCCTCGCCCAATCCCAGCTGATAAGCCACACCCCACCAATAAACTAATTAACAATGCTGCGCTTTACTGCCCCAGTCTACGCCCCACACATAGAAGCCAAATTAACAAGGCCCACAACACTCCGCTCTACCGCCCAGCCCTCTGTCCCAGCGTCCATTAATGACAGACCCAGCGACACTGTAAAGTCCAATAGAAATAATGACGATAAAGCAGCTTCACTCTCGTTCGCCGCTTTTTGCCCCGTGCTGTTAATTACTAGCGGTTAATCTGGGCGTCTCCCTAAGACGTTAGTTGGTCACATGGCTAATCAGCTGCCGCTCTGGGAATCCCGGTCGACCAACTCGGCAGCTGTAATGGCGGGGCGGAACACAGAGCCACCGGATCTGCTGCTGGGACCTCTCTCACGCTGTGTGGACTGTCTGCCATTGCACGGGCTGGTAACGGGGCTACCGGAGGGTGGGCGGTGCGCTGGGTCTGACAGAGAAGCCTATTTATTTATTTACAAATATAGCATCCAGTCTAACATCCAGGACTGAGAGACAATGACAGGCCTTACTTGATCCCAATTCAACTTTCAATATCTTAGCCACTACATCACTCCATTGGCTTTGTTCATTTTACGTGGAAACATTAAATTATTGATTTCTTTTATTTACAGTAGGCCCCCATAGCCATAATAACAAAAGACCTCACATTTTGTAGCCTGTGGGATGTCATACAGAATGATGTATTAGGCAAAAATCACTAATAAGTCAAGTTCCCCATCTGCTAGCATAACGCCACCAGGTTTGGTGGTCATGGATAAGCAGTCATGGACTACATTAGCTACAGTTTGAAAACCTGGTTATAAAAGTGGAATTCACAGATCATGTGAAACCACAAGCCCTGTTTTATAAATCATTAAGTCTAAGTTGGCACTTTAGGCCAAAACCAAGCCAACCATGTTACAGAATAGTGCATTGTGTTAAGCCATACCCAGTATGAAACTTCTCTTTTGCATATTTAAAATACTGATGTTCATCCAGAGAAAAACATTGGGTGCATTTTTTATCATGTCTTGCGTCATAGATCCATGAAAAGCAGTAATTTTGTATAGCCTGAAGCTCACTTCTTGCCTAATCCTGTGAACAGATTCCTTAAGAGACAAATATTTCGATTTTATTGACAAAAAATGTTTCCCATCCGTGAAAAAGAATTAGCTGAAAAGCTTGGGAAATTCCCTTCTCTACACATATCGGAGTTATCTGATCCCAGCATTATCTCAGCTTCTTCTCCAAATGAATCATTAGAACAATTTCACTAGGCATTGGGCATTCCTAGAGATCAGTTGCAACATGATTAGAATGAAGGACTCTAGGCCTGACAAAGCTCTGTGCGCATTACAAAGTCTTTCTGCAAATAAGGCAATATTAAGATGTCTCTCGGTATCAAAATTAAGTTTTATTTCTTCTTTTCTTGTCTTTTTCCCCCTTGTACAACTGTCTTCCTACAAGCTTAAAATAACGTAAGTATAATTTTTACATTCTGCCATTTTTTTAAATTTTTTTATTTTTGAACCAACAAAACATAACACACATACACACACAGTATATACTCCTCCCCTTTTTTTAACAGCGATTATGTAATGGTAATCTTCTATTATTTACATTCCCCCCCCTTATTCTTCTTTAGAATATTTGTCCTTATTGCCCTGTTGTTTCTTATTTACATTTTTCTTCCATCATACTCTACTTCTTACTAAGAATAATTCATATTATTATTATTATACATTATTATACACATATTTTCACTTTTGACCTTTCCATATTTATTCTCCTCTATTATTTCTAGTCTCCAACCAGTCATACCACTTGTTCTATGTTATATAGTACTCTGTATCTTCCTTTTCTTTTATCTCTTTTGTTAATTTGTGCATCTCAGCACAGTCCAGGATTTTTCTTATCACTTCTTCCTCTGATGATATATTCTCATTTTTCCAGCACTGTGCATATGCTATTCTTGCCGCCGTTATTATATGTAAAATTAAGTACCATATTTCTTTACTATATTTTCTGTTTAAAATACCCAGCAAAAAGATCTCTGGTTTCCAGTCTAGGGGTTGGTCTATTATTTCTTCGATCCATCTTCTTATTGTAATCCAGTATTTTTTCGCAACTTGGCACGTCCACCATAAATGTTAATATGTTTCATGTACTTTTTTACATTTCCAGCATGTTGGCGAATTGTTCTGGAACATTCTGCCATTTTAATAGTTAGATACAGAACAGTTTGCCTCTATATGCAGTTAGTCCACAACTTACAACCACAAATGAGCCCAAAATTTGCTAAGTGAGAAATTTGTCAAGTGAGTTTTGCCCCATTTTACGACTTTCCTTGCCACATTTGTTAAGTGAATCACTGCAGCTTCCCTATTGACTTTGCTTGCCAGAAGGTCACAAAAGGGGATCCCATGTCCCCAGCACACTGCAACCATCGTAAATATGAACCGGTTTTCAAGCATCCGAATATAAATCTTGTGACCATGGGATTGCTGCAACAGTTGTAAGTGTGAAAAAAGGTCATAAGTCACTTTTTTTAGTGCTGTTGTTTACTAAATATTGATATATATATCAACTGAAGGGTGTGACTAGCTGATGAGGGCAAATGAGCCTGAAATATACACATACACGTATACATACATACATACATACATACATACATACATACATACATACATGGATGAAGCTAAAATATACACCATGAGAGGAATACCGAACCATATCAATTGGATAGTTATTGATAATTAACACTGTATTGTGTTTTGGCACGATTCTATGCATGTCTATTTACAGTAAATCACTTCTTCAAAGAAAATGATCAAACCAATCATTTACATGTATTTATTTCTCTTTTTATTTTATACTGCACTACAAAATAAAACAATACATACCTAACAATACACCTTCACAAGGAGGCAGCTCCTTCCCACAAAGATTTTAAAATTTGGAAGTGCTGTTGATGAACTTGAACTCTACTTTCCTGAGTATCACAGAGAGGGCATTTGGTCCATTCACTGTCTCTCATCCCAACTCACTTCCCAGGGTTATTGTGAGGAAAATAGGAAAAAGAGGGAGCATTAGATACATTTGCCACCTTGAGTTGATTATAAAAATAATAAAGGCAGGATAGAAATGAAATGAAATTACACAATTTTTTACAAGAAGGTGAAGGTTGTTTCACAGGATCAGGGCCATCACTGAGAAATATTACTTTCCCCCACTAAATCTTCCACAGGGGAAACCTCAATAACTTTACATAAGGCATGTGGAAAGTTGAAACTAGTAGTAATACTTGATAAGTCAGAATTAGATTCTCGGAAGCATATTCATAATATTATATATGTATAATAGTACCTACATAAGGCAAGATGGGCTATTGCATTTTATACCAATTACAGCTTTCAGCAATCTTCAAAGGGAACTCTCCACACAAGATGCTGTAACACAGGTAGTCCTCCACCTACAACTATAGTAGAGCCTGGTCATTAGGATAACAATCTAGGACAGGGGTAGGCAATATTGGCTCTTTTATGACTTGTGGACTTCAACTCCTAGAATTCCTGAGCCAGCATAGCTGGCTCAGGAATTCTGGGAATTGAAGTCCGCGAGTCATAAAAGAGCCAAGGTTGCCTGCCCCTGATCTAGGAGATGACCAGGCTAAGCCCGGGGGAAGGGGTCAAGCACATCATTAGTCACGAGTTCCTTCCCATGCATAGGAGATCTAAGTTCAGCCCATCTGGAATTCTGTTGATTCTGATCTACCGCCAATTTGCTTTGACTGTTAGTAATTCAGATTCCTATAGGGAGTGTTAGCACACAATAAACCTGTATTCAGTTGAATTGCCTTCTCTTCTGATTTCCTGTGCTTGACACAAATGGTGACAACCGTTAAGTGACCCCAGATGGTCCATAAAGGAGGCAGACCAGCAGCCAAAGGGTTTGCAAAGCCAAAAGCAGCCCATCAGGGGGAAAGAGCCCAGCTAGATTAGGGTCCATTACTGGGTTGCAATGCCAGAGAGGGTTCCAAACAAGCCTCCATGCTTGACCGATGATGCCAAGCTTGCAGGCTAAATTTCTACCTTAATCAGCTGGCCATTGGGAAACTGCAAACCTCCCCTGGCTGTTGCTAGCCTTTGGGGAAGCAACCTGCCTGCATGGAAAGAGAATGACAAATTCTGTAAACCGCTTACCTTGATGAGCGATTCCAGGCTGAAGAGTACAGTAGAGGAAAGGAAACAAACAAGCAAAGAGAGGGATAGAATCAAGATCACGTGAAGTATTAATACCACTCTACAATGCCTTGGTAAGGCCACACTTGGAATACTGCATCCAGTTTTGGTCACCACGATGTAAAAAAGATGCTGAGACTCTAGATAGAGTACAGACAAGAGCAACAAAGATGATTAGGGGACTGGAGGCTAAAGCATATAAGGAACAGTTGCTGGAATTGGGTATGTCTAGTTTAATGAAGAGAAGGATGAGGGGTGACATGATAGCCAAAGAGCCGAGGTGGCGCAGCAGTTAGAGTGCAGTACTGCAGGCCACTTTAGCTGACTGTGTTCAGCAGGTCAGCGGTTCAAATCTCACGGCTCAAGGTTGACTCAGCCTTCCATCCTTCCGGGGTAGGTAAAATGAGGACCCAGATTGTTGGGGGCAATGTAAATATATATATACATTGCTTACTGGTGTACACCGCTTAGAGAGTGCTTGCACTTAAAGCGGTATATAAGTCTCATAAATAAATAAATAAATAAATAGCAGTGTTCCAATATCTCAGGGGCTGCCACAAAGAAGAAGGAGTCCAGTTATTCTCCAAAGCACCTGAAGGCAAGACAAGAAGCAACGGGTGGAAACTCATCAAGAATAGAAGCAACCTAGAACTAAGGAGAAACTTCCTGACAGTTAGAACAATTAATCAGTGGAACAACCTTCCTCCAGAAGCGGTGAATGCTCCAACACTGGAAGTTTTTAAGAAGAGACTGGACAGCCATTTGTCCGAAATAGTATAGGGTTTCCTGCCTGAGCAGGGGGTTGGACTCGATGACCTCCAAGGTCCCTTCCCACTATTATTATTATTATTATTATTATTATTATTATTATTATTATTATTATCTCTTTGCAGCCTGTTTGCATTTGAGAAGCTGAAAAAAAAAAAAGTTCAGACCAAAAGCAAACATGGCCACAGCACAAATGCTCACCAAATGCAGAAGCTGAGTCCTAAAGGTAGGCAGGCAGGCAACAAAAAGGTTTCCAAACTACTTTTTTTTTTAGTTTGGGGGGGTGGGGGTGTCTGTCTTGACTTTGAACAAAACTTTGAACAACCATTAAGTGATCTGCCATATCTCGAGGACTACCTGTAATCTACCTGAGAGGTAACAAATATGAGCCTACAGTCCTTAGTTTTACTTTCTAGGTTAGTGCACAGATATATTCTCACAGCTTAAACTGAATTGTTCCCAAATATCACCACATGTAAAGAATGGAATGAGATAATATGTATAAGCATGTTTCAGAAATATTGCAGGTTCAGTTCCTGACCAATATAGCACTTTGTCTAAAAAAAACCAACATACATACCTTAATTTTAAAAAACACTTTATTATTAAAAAATACCAATTATCATCTGAGCCTTCAATGAATTAAAATCTTTTGCCTGGTGTGGGGCCTTGTAAAAAATAATGAAATATCTGAGAAGTGTAGTAAAGCAAAGCGCCATAAAACAAGGTTATATCTATCATTCTAATCTTCTATCATGGTTTTATTTATTAAATTCACATATTTTACTTGGGACATTATTTTCCCTAGTTCATTGCCAAATAACATAAGGCAATGAAAATGAAAAGGAGAGGTTTTAATCAAGGGAATGGAAGTAGCAGAAACATTTGGCAAAAAATGATTGTGTAGGAAAGTTTTTATGGGAAAGATGAACCTGAAAATTTTCTTTAAATTATGACAACAGAGTTATGATGTTCATAACTTTTGGCTTTATCTCTGCAAAGTATTTTAACTTCATTTCTTTATTTAATCCAACTGAACAAGTCCCAAATCATTTTGGGTGCAATTAAAAAGTTATTTTTTAATACCTTGGCACCAAGATTTAGTTATTTATTTATTTAAAAGACTTGTATTCTACCCAGACTATAACTGAATAATTTAGTCAATACCACATTTGCAGTATTAAAGACTACAGGACTTATTTAAAATAATTCAGAATAGAAGTATAACATTGACTTTCATTGATATCATAAGCATGTTTTGGAATAATCCTAATATAGAAACTACAGATAAAACTGTTTTTTTTCAATTCATAGACTAATATGAGTATTAATACTGCAATTAGCTAATTTTGAATCAAGTTTTTTAACCCTTAAATTATTGCAAGAGGAATTGGGATATCTGAGATTAAGGGATCGTAATATATCCAATCAAAACAACTTTAGATTTCAGAGGTTAATCCAATTGCAGGATCTAAAACTCCTGAGTTACTGTAAGCACTGAAATGTGTTCAGGATTATTCCAAATTAAAAAGTATTGTTAAAATGGACATAATATTTGCAAGAATTTTGGAATAAAGAATTGGAATTCCTCATAATAACAAACAAGGATTAAAGTCTTGAATAATGTATATTTCCTATTATCTTAAGATGACATTAAATAAAGACATTTTCTCATATTTATTGGACAATTCAGAAGATGTTTTAAAAGGTCTCCACTTATACTGGAAGTAGAAATGGAGGGGATTCTTGTGCATATTCTATGGACTTGCCACACTATCGTCCCATTTTGGTTTCATAGCCATAAGTTCCTTAATATGGTTTTGTAAAGTAATATATTTTAAGATGTAAATGTGATAGACAACTAGGGATCTATTAAGCATGAGACATAAAGAAAATGATAGTAATAACAGAACAGAATAACAGAATGTTCGCTTGAGGATAATAACAACAACAACAGAATAAGATTTGGAAGGGACCTTCGAGGTCTTCTAGTGCAACCCCCTGCTCAGGTAGGAGACCCTATACCATTTCAGATTTTACTGTTTTATAGTAGAAAGACAGTGCTACATTAATATTTATGATCTTGGATTGATTTCTATAGTATTCATGCTGTGCTTGCAAACTGGCTTTTTACAGATTAATGAAAAAACTGATCAATACTACTGAGTTTGACCAAGGTTTAATATTGTGATTAAACACCTAGAAGCTGTTTTTTGTATGTAGTTTTTTTTGTCCTGTAACCTTTTCTTTTTTTCTCTCTTTTTATAGTATTTTCAGTACAACATAATGTTGGAAAGAAATCATGAAAAGGACATCATAATCCATCAGCAGGCTAAGTCTCCGCAAATTGAACACAACAGGATCAAGTTTGGTGCGCTGTGAAAGCCAGCAAAAGAAATAGCTAGTTCAAAATTGACCCAGATCTGACTGAAAGTGCAGAAGAAAAGATTCCTGGAGGAAAATACACCCCTCTACATCCCTAAGGGAGAAGCAGTTTAGTACTAGCTTGGTATGGGATTTTTTAAAGATTTGTTTTTATCCTGCCTTTATTATATTTATAAATAACTCAAGGCAGCAATCATATCTAATGCTCCTACAGTCTCCTGGTTTCTAGCCTGGTGCCTTAATCACTAGAGCAGACTGGCTCAATTTGTTATATTGCTAACCCCCTCCTGATTTTCCTCCATAGTCATATGATCCATAGTGAAGTGGCAACACATTTGAACTCTGATTAAATATGCATAAGAGGCAACCCATATGCAGAGAGGGGCAGCATATAAATTTAATAAGTAAATCTCTTTCTTTCCTTCTCTCATGCACATTCACACAGAGAGAAGCAATCCTTTATTTCATTACATAGAGAATCTGGTGCTGGTGATGGATGCCAGTTCCTCTGGCTTAACAAAAAAAGAGAGGGCGGGATTGGATCACTTCATGGCAGTCATGAGGATCAATGGTTATTAGCTTTAATGCCATCTGGTGGAGAACTAGGGGCATTCATTGTGCAGTTGGTTGGCCACACTGGACAAGATAGGCCAAGGCTTGTGTTTTTATTTTTAAAAAAATACAGATTCCTCCGATGTCCACTGTAAAGGATTTGGAAAGAATTCTAGAAGCTTATTCTGCCTGCTTTCCCTATTCTGTTATTTTTTCCACTTCCTTGGAATGTTGGAGAGAAATTTACATTTGTTTATCTCTGTCTTTCTGTCTATCAGCAGGATAACTTTCTGAAAACTAAACTGAGTGAGAGGAATTAGATGTGGCAGAAGAAGACAACAAAAGAAATGTGGAGTCTGAAAGCAGGCCAGATTAAGCCATTGACTGCAGAGGAGAGGGGGAAAAAATCCATAATGCATTTCTATGGAGGAATATCTATGATGAGTCTCAATGATCCAAGTCATGGTTGTCTCAAAGGTACTTTTCAAAAAAGCAACTGAACTTTTTTTTTGAAGGGGGGTAGGTATTAAACATTTTGCTTCTTATCCAAGAAGCTTCTTTAGTTCATTCTTCAGAAGAAGCTTCTTGGATGGGAAGCGAAACATTTTCAAGGGAAAAAACCCAAGTCCAGTTGCCTTTTGGAAAAGCACTGTTATGTCCTGAGCCTGTGGAAGCAGGCTCGGGGCATTGCAACGGTCCTGGGCAGGTGCAAGCTGCCCGGGACCAGACTGGCTGTCTCCAGCACTCGCGCGCATGCGCGGGTGCGAGTGCGCCAAATGTTGCAGTTTGGCCCGGGAATCGCCTATAAAAGAGGCAGGGAGATTTGGGCGTTGTCGGCATCTTGTAACCAGTATGCTGAACAGAAATAAAGAGTTCCTGAGAACTACAACTGCTTCTCGTGTCATTGCCATTTCGCGAAGGACTTAACACTGGCGACGAAGGTGGGATTGCCTTACATCGACCGAAGACAGGTGTAAGCTTACCCTAGAGTCCTGAGCAGTAGGAACGGCGTTGACTCGGCAGCTACCCACCAATCTAGCGAGCATCGGGGGTAGGCTGGCTGATAGACTCTTCCTTTTCTACAAAAATGGCAAAAGTTGGAAGACTTTCAGAATTCGTCGTCTCGCATCCGGAAAGATGGGAGTCCTACGTAGCCAGGGTGGAAAACTATCTTAAAGCCAATCAAGTAAGAGAAGATAGTTTAAAAGCCGCCACCCTGCTGTGCGTTTGCAGTCAAGACGCATTCGAAATTGCTGAAAACATAGCAGCACCTGTACCTCTAGAATCTGTTAACTACACAGATCTCAAAAAACTACTCAAGGAACACTTCCAGCCCAAGTTGTCCGTCATCGCTTGGTGCCACACCTTCGAACAGAGGGATCAGCGACCCGGAGAATCAGCCAAAGAATACATTGCTGCCCTGAGAAAAGCCGCTAAACACTGCGAGTTCAAGGATCTAGAAGAACGGCTGAGAGACAGATTTGTATGCGGACTGAGGCATAGAGAATTGCAGCAGAAGAATTGCTAAAGAAGACTTATCATTCCAAGATGCCTTGAGAGAGGTTACTGCAGAAGAGGCAGCAGGCGGCGCCATCAAGAACATGAGGCCGATCAGAAGCACTCCAGACGCTGTGTCCGTGCACCAGGAAGGAGTCCAAAGGAACCCAGAGGAGGATCCTGACGATGAAGTAGACCATCTCTACCCCACGAAAGAAGGGAAACAGAAGGAAAGCTCTTCAGCTCTCCCCAAGTGCCTCGGTTGTGGAGGTCGCCACAAGAGGACCGACTGTAGATTCCGCTCCGCTATTTGCAGGGCATGCGGAAAACAGGGACACATTGCAGCTGTGTGTCTGGGCCGTCAGAAGGTACAGCCTCGGGAAGAATTGCGCCTGAAAGTTACCAGGGTCCCCAGCCAAAACAGGGTGGGGTTCTGTGCTTCGCGAAGAAGCATCTATAGGACAGGCACACACAAGCCCATCAAGAAAAAGCTGTCACTTAAAGTGAAGCTACAAGGGGTTCCATTGGCCATGGAACTAGATACGGGGTCTGCACTTTCAATCATTTCCATGCACACGTTTAGGAAGATTTGTTCTGGCAGCGGATTTCAGGCCAAGCTGAGGCCTTCCGACATTGTGTTAACAGACTTTCAAAACTCCAGAGTGTGTGTTAAGGGGGAGGCCACCCTTAAAGTACAGTATAAGGATTTTGAAGGTCCACTAGATGTAATAGTAGTAGGGGGTGAATGAACGAGTCTCATAGGACTCGATTGGTTTGAGGCCTTGGGAATACATGTCACAGGGCTCAATAGCTTGCAAACAATAGACCTACAAGAAGTCTGCAAAGAATTTGCAGATGTTTTCAGCCCCCAGCTGGGCACGTACAAAGGACCCCCTGTGTCACTGAAGTTGGACCCCACTGTCACCCCTATTAGAATTAAAGCAAGAAGGGTCCCTTTTGCTTTGAAAGGTAAAATTGACACAGAATTGGACAAATTGATTCAGCAAGGAGTTCTAGAACCTGTCGACTCCAGTCCATGGGAGACCCCCATTGTCACGCCTCTTAAGGCAAATGGGGTCATTCGCATCTGTGCAGATTACAAATGCACTCTGAATAAGGCATTGCAGCAACATGCCTATCCTGTCCCAGTGGTCAGTCATATTCTGGCCTCCCTCAAGGGGGGGGGTGCATTTTTGCAAAGCTTGACCTAGCTCAGGTGTATCAACAGCTGCCTGTTGATGATGCTGCTGCTGTAGCTCAAACCATTGTGACCCACAGGGGGGCATTCAAGGTAAAAAGGTTACAATTTGGAGTAAATGTCGCTCCTGGAATTTTCCAAAGCATAATGGAAAACACACTACGGGGTATACCAGGGGTTTGCCCCTATTTTGATGATGTCTTAATTGCTGGAGACTCTACACACAACTTAGCTGAGAGATTAAGGGCTGTCCTGCTAAGGTTCAGGCAAACGGGCCTCAAGCTTAAGAAGGACAAATGTAAAATTGGGGTGCCTTCTACAGATTTTCTGGGATTCAAAATCGATGCTACCGGGATTCACCCTGCTGAATCCAAATTGAAAGCTATTTTGCATGCTCCTAGGCCAAAATCCAAGGCCGAACTACAGGCTTTTCTGGGCCTTCTGAACTTCTACAACTCCTTCCTTCCAAACAAGGCTAGTGTAGCCGAGCCTCTTCATAGGCTCTTGGACAAACAGGCACAAGTGCCTACTCCAGCCAGGGAGTCACCCCGGGGGCATAATCACTACTCACCCGCATGACTCAGTACTCCATTCAGGGAGGATATCTGGGAGCGTCCAAACAACCCACACCCTGCAAGAGAGCTGACACACATTCCATCTAGTTGGCCCAACACTACCCCTGTCCCTAGAAGGGGGCAAGCACACAGGGAGGTGGTCAAGGAACCAAATCCCGACTACAACATCTCTGACATCACTCAGGGGACAACTGAGTTTTGGGACAGCACTGAAACCCCAACAAGCCCGGGGACAGAACGGGAACACGGGGAAAGACAACCTCTTGACAGGTCTAGGACAGAACTTGGAGGTTCTACAGAATTGCCCAACAGTGACAGTCACTTAAGAGGGCCAGAGAGCCTGCAGCTAGGCAGGACAACCAGGTCAAACAGAGAAAGAAGTCCTGGCCTGACGAGCCTGGTGGGCAAGCAAGCAGGCCAGGCATTGGAGCACAGTCCTTGGAAATCACCAGGGTTTAGCAAGGGGGACAAGCATACATCACCCCTCAGTCAAGGAGTATTTGGAAGGTACCCAGAAGTTAGGAGGTCACAGAGAGCTAGAAGATCTCCTAAGTATTTAGAAGATTTTGTAAACCTACTGGCAAAACAGAGTTAACAGAGAGTATTCCTGTACACATAGGAAAATAGAACACTGGGGAACAATAGATGTAAAGGGGACAATTGGTACAAAGTAGTATGGGTACCACACTCATATTGGATTGCATATTATTATTATATGAACATAGTCTTAGCCGGGGGGGAAGGGGTGTTATGTCCTGAGCCTGTGGAAGCAGGCTCGGGGCATTGCAACGGTCCTGGGCAGGTGCAAGCTGCCCGGGACCAGACTGGCTGTCGCCAGCACTCGCGCGCATGCGCGGGTGCGAGCGCGCCAAATGTTGCAGTTTGGCCCGGGAATCGCCTATAAAAGAGGCAGGGAGATTTGGGCGTTGTCGGCGTCTTGTAACCAGTATGCTGAACAGAAATAAAGAGTTCCTGAGAGCTACAACTGCTTCTCGTGTCATTGCCATTTCGCGAAGGACTTAACAAGCACCTTTGGGACAACCATGACCCAATGGGAGACACAGTTGAGCAGCAGCTTGGAATGTTGCTGTCTGTTCCGTTCTAAACTCTCTGTCATGTGACTCCCAGTCATACAACTTTGGCATTTGTAATGTGTACATATATAAACACCTATGCAACACAAGGCAAACATACACACTAATATATGCCTTATTTACTTCATTGCACAAAATAAAAAAAATGATGCTTCCTATGGCAACTGCTGTCAAATGGCTGCACGCTTCGACTACGTTGTTTTCTGTTTGTTTTGGTTCTGCATTTTTTCCTTTATTTATTAATATTAAAGCATTTTTTTAAAATGTGATCATGTAATGGTGTAATTTTTTATTTAAAGGGCTAATTAAAAATTAAACAAATGGAAAGAATCTATATCAGCTGTGCGATGAAGAGAACCGAATGCCAGCAGGCAATGATAAACAGGGAGAATTACTGAACTCTTATTTTTACTCTTCTCCAACAAAAAGGTACATTTCACCTAAATAATATGGAAGCAAGATGAACCAGTTCTGAAGCTGGAGGTTAATAGAATCATGCTCAGGTCTTACCTTTATCTGAGTTAATTTAAATTTCTCCAGAGCTAGATAAAGAAGGAGCATTTTCATGATCCCAACAGCCCTCTATGTATTATATTTGAAAAATCCTGGGGTAATGCCAGGTGATTGGAGGAAGAAAAGTTTATATCTGTATCTTCTAAAGGGGAAGGGAATTTGGAGAAGTACAATGCTATTCGTCTGATATTAATACCTGAGAAGTCTGTAAAGTTAGATCATAAAAATATTGCTCTAGAAGCATCTTGAGAGAGTTTGTTAACTGTCAGTAGTCAGCATGGATTTGTCAAGAACAGGTCTTGACAAACTATCCTGGTTTCAGTTTTTTGAATGGGTAAATTCTAGGGGAATGTTGACTACATGAAATAAATCTGATGTCATCAAAGCATCAGAGATCTCATAGTATCCTGATAGCCAAGCTCATTAGTTGATATTTAGTAGTATTTAAAAATGTTCATTAATATTGCTCATCAAACTGGAATGAGGTATTAAGTGGGGTGCAACAACTGACACTCTACTTAATATTTTATCACCATTTTTAATAAGGTAAGGTAGAAGGAATGCTTATCAAATATAGAGGGAATAACTAATATCCTAAAAGATAAAAATAATATTCAAATGGATCTTGACAGCTTAGAGCAGTGGTTCTCAACCTGTGGGTCGGGACCCCATTTGGGGTCGAACGACCATTTCACAGGGGT